ACCATACTGCTTTCTATCTGTATGGATGTCATACGAGGAATCATGCGGTATTTGTCGTTTTGTAACTGGCTCATTTCACTTAGCATTAATGTCTTCAAGGGTCATCCATGTTGTAACCTGTGTCAGAATTTCCTTCCCGAATAGTATTTCATTGTCTGTATACACCAAGTTTTGTTTCTCCATTCATCTGTTGATGGGCACTTGGGTCGTTTCTCAGTTTTGACTATTGGGAATAGTCCTGCTATGAACATGGGTGTAGCAATATCTCTTCGAGACCCTGTTTTCAATTCTTTTGGATGTATACCCAGAAGTGGAATTGCTGGATCATGTGGTAGTTCTATTTTTAATTTTTTGAGGAACCGCCAAACTGTCCTCCAAGCAGCTGCATCATTTTACACTCCCAACAACAGTGCACAAGGGTTCCAATTTCTCCTCATCCTCGCCAACACCTGTGATTTTCTGGGTTTTCATAGTCGCCATCCTAATGGGTGTGAGGTGGTGTCTGCCGTTTCGATTGTATTTCCCTAATGATTAGTGATGCTGATCAGCTTTTCATATGCTTATGGCCATTTGCCTGTCTTCTTTGGAGAAATGTCTATTCAAGTCCTTTGCCCTAATTTCATTTAATTAACTTGAACTTAAATGTAGATAGCTGCATATGGCTAATGGCTACCGTATTGGACAAGTGTAGGTCTGTATGCCCCCTGCACACCCACAACAGGATTATTTTGCAGTAAATCACAGACATTCTATCATTTTGCCTCTGAATATTTCAAGATGTATTTCTAAAGGGCAAGGACTCTAAAGAAGAAAAACAAAACAAAACACGAAGCCATTGCTACACCTAGAATCTTAATTGCAATTCCTTAGCATTGTCAGATATCCAGGCAGCGTTCAAATCCTATCTTTTTCAACAGTTGGTGGGTTCATTTGTGTCCTTAAAAGCCCCTCTGCCTGCTGGTTGAGAGCTGTGGGATACTTGCTTATCCCAGAGCACATGGGCAGCACATTTCATCCCTCTGTGTGGTCCCTAGATTCCCCATAACTGCTCTATTTAGCCTCACTGATCTCACCTGAGAAGTGGGGGTAACAACAGGGGGTTGGAAGGATTCGAGGAGACTTGGTGCAGTTTAAGTTGCACCTTGTACATAACCCACGGCCGAAGCAGATGACATAGAAACCCTTCCAAACGTGCTCAAAGGTGACACATGACAAAGGGCACCAGGTGGAAAAGCTGGGGACTAGAACTTTTGTCCCCCCTGCCCGGGCTGTGGCCAGAAAGCTTTGGGAGTGGCCACACTACATAATATTCGCAAAGGCAGTTAAATGATTACAGGCATACCTCGTTTTGTTGCACTTCACTTTATTGTGCTTCACAATGTTGCATTTTTTACAAATTGAAGGCGAGACCCCACCCCCCACCCCCACAGCAGCAGAAAAAGTACGACTTCCTCGCTTTATGGGGACCCTCGCTTCATTGCGGTGGTCTGGAACCAAACCCGCAACATCTCTGAGGTCTGCCTGTGTAACTAGTATGTATCATTTACAAAATCCGTGAGGATTAAAGGTGTTCATATAAAACAATCCTGTGGGGGAACACAGTTATTCCATTTTCAAGATGGGGAAATCGAGGCACAGAGGGCCGAAGTAACTTGTAGGGCTCATGGCTGGGAAGTGGCTGTGCTTGGGTGGAAACCCACGCCTCCGCTTACCTCCCCCCGCCTCCCCACCCCCGATTCTCGGCAAAGAGCTCTTACTAGTCAAGGTGCATTCGATTCCCACCCTAAGGACTGGGCCAGCAGAGCGCACACAGCAGCTTTGTAGATGTCAGCTGCTCAGAATCTGGGGTGTTTGTTAAAAATGGAGCATTTCTGGCCCCTCTTGTGATTTGTGACCTTCTAGATCCAGGGTAGGTCCTGAGAATCAGTGTGAGACCTTGTGGAGAGGAGACTGGGGGCAGAGGGCAGAAGCACCTCTGACTTTTCCTCATTAGCCAGTGATGTTTAGTAGTACTCAAAAAATAATATCGAGACCAGTAATGTCGATACTGGTAGCTGGTCTGTGCACGCCACAAGCCAGGCCCTGTTCTAAGATCCTTTCCACCATCACGTGAGAGGTGGAGACTAGGATTGTACCTATTTTACAGATGAGGACCCTGAGGCCCAGACAGGCAAAGTCACTTGCCCCAGGTCACCTAACCCATGCGTGGGGGAGCAGAGATTTGAACCCCTGACTTCAGCCCTGTCACCCTACACGGGACCTCCTGGAATTCACCTAGTGGGGGACAGGTGCCAACTCAGGCCCCTGAACTGGGGAGCCAGTCTCAGAGGAGCCCAGGCCTGCTGACCATGCCATATTCTTCTCTCTTTGTTACGGAAACTTTCAAAAATATGCAAAGTAACTAGAACGGTATGATAAAATAAAGCCCCCAAACACCTGTCATCCAGCTTTAAAACAGTTATCAACATTTTGTCGTTCATGTCTCACCTCTCCCCTCACCCACTGCCTCTCAATGATGGTGATTTATTTTTTCGTTTTTAAAGGTGAAATTTACATGGGTTGAAATGCATGAGTCTGAGCTGTTAAAATTTTAAGTCCTCATAACCGACACCCAGTCACTATGTAGAACGCTCCCCTCCCCCCATTCGTTTCTCTAATGTTACCATGGGAATGGAAAAACACAGATAAAAAAATTGTCGCGGAGAAGGCTGGAGTCTCCCACTGGACATTCACCTGTGGCCCCGTTTGGAGAAACCTGCCCAGGAAACAGCCCCTCCTGGCTCTGATTCTGCTGGTATGAGGTTGACAGAGCTTGGGCGGTCCCCAAAACCTGAGGCAGGGAGGAGGGAAGAACTCCGGACCCTGTCAAAACTACCTTAAACTATCTTGGGGCCTTGTGAACACCTCCGGGCCAGGGCAGCGCACCTGGAATCTAGGTGGGACAGGACCCCGTGGTCCAGGGTCTTGTGACAGATGCTTTCTAGATTTCCCTGGGGCCTGGGACCCTGGAGAAGGAGGGAAGGCGCTCCAAGCTCCCGTTCCTCCTCTCTTCCATGCTGCTCTCTTGTATCGCGTCTACGAATCTGAACTATCCCAGGCATCCCTAAAATGATAACAAAAGCCTGCACGTCAGCCAGCTCAGTCTTATCTTGACATTTTTGCCATATTTGCTTCAGATTGTAAAAGAAAAACAACATGATGAGCATCCTTTGTGGGATAGCGGTTAAGGGCGGGGGACTCTGGAGTTAGCCTGCCTTGGCTCAAACCCCAGCCTGGCCACTTCCAGTTGAGGAACGTTGGGCATGTTGCCAACCGTTCTGAGCCTCAGTTCTCTCATCTACAGAATGGGGCTAATAAACACACCTGCCTCCTAGGGACTTAGAGAAGGTGAAATGGGTTAATACGTGCAGAGTGCTTGAAACCTGTGCACAGTGGGCCCTGATTCAGAGACTCATCATCATTACAGTGGAGCCTCATTCTAATGGATTCTCTATTTGTTCATTTGCCTACTTGCTAACATTTGTAACCCCCAACTCTCCATACTCATGGTACCTTCCCCCTGTCACTTGCAGGCATGTGCAGAACCTGAAAAACACGCATGTGTCCAGCTGAGGTCACTGCTGGGAGGCCTCCCAGCATAGTGCTGCAGCCCTGTCTCGTGTTCCTAAGATCAGGAAGGCTGGGTTTTCCCCGTGAGAAAATAAGCGTCGTTCAGGCTTGAGTTACAGTGCTGTTGACTGCGTGTTCAATGTTAATGAGTCAACAGTTTCTATTAAATAAGGTGTCCTTAAACAGAAACACAAATAAACCAAGGTTATGCATTGATTGGTTGATGAAAATGTGATGAGAGGCTCGTAGAAACCTAACTCCTTGTGTTTCCCCCAGCGTGGTGACTCAGTATTCACTAATTCAGTGTTCACAGCAACTGTAGAACATCTGGTACCACGGTACCAGAATCGACCATATTTTGTTAGATTGCACTGCCAATAAATGAAATTGTATGATGTTATACTATTGTGTAGTGTGTGCGTGTATATATACACGTGTAATTGTAATACAGTATATATACAGAGGGTACCAAAAAAATGTATACACATTTTAAGAAAGGAAAACTGTTCAAATTGTAATACTCAATATATACTGATAGGGCCGGCCGAGTGGTGCCGTAAGAGCTGGCTTGGGACACCAGAGGGCCCCGGTTCAGATCCCACATATGAGGGCCAGTGACACTGCCCTCTACAGCTAAGATGCTGAACAACAGCTCAACCTGGAGCTGGGCTGCTGTGAGTCGCCGGCGACGGTGTAGGCATAGGCTGCAGCCCCTGCTGCAGTGGGTTGCCATGGGCTACCGTGTGTGGCCAGCAGCCAGCGTAAGCGACCAGCAGCCGCAGTGAACGGCCATCCAGAAGCCGGCGACTGATCTGCCTCGCCCGGGAAGAGCGCAATGATGGTGCCAACTTGGGCCAGTGAAGCAACGTCCTCCACAACTAGACTGAAGAACAAGACAACAGCAACTTGTCTGTTCCCCTTCCCCCAGTTCCCCATATACTGATAACAAAAGATGAATACAAGTCACGTTTGACTTCTGCAATTACAAGAGATGCTCAAAGTGGTTACCATCAGTGTCCAGACACTTCTGATTACGGCGAACTACTGCTTGAGCAACGTTGACCAAAGTGTCCACTTGTATACATTTTTTGGGCACCCTCGGTATATACATATTTGCATATTGTATGTATGATAATGTATAATGTTGTTTTATGTGGTTTTAAACTTGTATTTGACCTCTCCTTTCTCACTTCCCTTTTAACATTGTCTCTTCAATCCTTCCTCTGTCCTGTCCTTCCCTTCCCCTTAGTCCTTCTCCATCCCTCCCCCACTCTCCCCTTCTCCTTCCTCTCTCTCTCTCTCTCCCTCTATCTGTCTTCCCCTCCCTCCCCCTACATCTTTCCTTTTCACTGACTTTCTCACTCACAGCCTCTCTCATTCTCTCTCCACAGCTGGCCCCCGAAAGGACGTTCCCCAAGTCCCCAGCTGGGGGCCCCGCATAGACCTGGAGTGGACACCCCCTCCTTCCCTTCATGATTCCTTGGTAGCACAGGTAACCAGTGGAGGGTCCCAGTGCCTCCCCAGAGGGGTGGTTGTCCCTCATTCCACCTCCCTGGGCCCACCTCGGGCCCCTGGACAAGGAAGGAACTTCCCTTCTTGGCAGAGCCTGCTTAGCAACGTCCTGCAGCCCCTCCCTCTCCAGCCTGGGCCCCCTGGCTCGTTTGGGCCATCCCCCTGCCTCCGCACCAGCAGCAGGCAGGATCTCTCTCCCTTTCTCCAGATTCTTTGCAGACCTTGCCTTTTTGTCTCCTGGCTGGGCCGTGTCCCCGCTGTGGGCTGGTGAGGAAGGGCAGGGGCTTGTAGGCCATGGGCCTGGTGACACAGGAAGAAAGTATAGGTGGGGGCTGGGATATGGAGGCAGAGCCTGTTGTCACCATTGCCAAATGGCAGCAAGAGCTGAGAAAAGGCCTATCTGAGGACGGTCCCATGGCTGGCTTTGGGTGGGAGAGAGATTGCGTGTGAGGTTCTGGGGATGTGTCTCTTGTCTGCATTGCCTGCCCTGCTGTAGACCCAGGCTTATTAACCAGGGCCCGTAAAGTGTGTACATGTGTGTACGTGTGTGTGTGTCCCATGAACCCTGGGAAAGTACCTGTAACATTTTTGGGCACATGCATGTCTCTGGCAAGGGGGTCTTTCGCTTTCATTAGCTTCTCCTAGCCACTGTTTGGAGAAGTCCCTTACCCAGCTATGAGAGGTCTCCATCTGTGTTTTCTTTATATCACAGAGCAGTTGAGGGTCCTGGGAGCTGGGGTGGTCATTGGGAGGACTAAGTTAGGGGAGTTCAGAGAATGCTGTTGGGGTGAGGGGTTGTGAATGAACTGCAGGCGCATGTGAGAGTGTGTATGTGTGTGATGTGGGGGAGGGGCTCCACAACAGTCATTTCATCCTCAGGGAGGTTCAGGAACACCTCTCCCCCTCCAAAAAAGAAAAGCGGGTAAGAACTCAGTGGCCCTGGGCTGTAAACTTGCACCAGTGAGGGACTGGGTATGATTTCTCATCATGTTTTCCATGCATCACAGGGAGGAAAGGATGAGCCCGGTGGAGGGATGGGTAGCTTGTGTGTTGGGAAGAAAGGAAAGGTGGATGTTTGAATGGCAGTTTGGAAAGATGGGTGGATGGGAGCTTTGAGAAAAGAAGGGGTGTTAGGAATGATGGAAGGTTAGGTGGGTGGGGGTGGGGTGGATGGGCAAATGCAGAGAACTCAGTTACCTCATCTGTAGAACGGGCCCAATGGCCTTCCCGGGAGTGCGTGGGACAGTGCCTAGTGCAGTGTACACACTTGACAAGACAAACATGAGCGGTCCCCATCCTCATTATGCTGATGGGCTCGGCCTGGCCTAGGTAGCTCCTCTGACTTGGAGTGCCCATCCTCCTGGCCCCGCTCCCACTCTCTGCCCTCCCTTGGGAACCGCAGTACATATGTCTTCAGGGGGGACCCAGAACCTGGGCTGAGAAGCCTTTCTTGCCTCCTCCACCCGTTGGTCTGTAGGACAGACCCCTACCTCACCCCGCTTTGGGCCAGGCCCTGTGCTCAGGAAAGTGCGGTGGTGGAAAGCACAGGCTCAGGGGTCAGACCCCCTGGGTTCAAAGCCTGGCTCTGCTGCCTGCTAGCTGGGAGGTGGAGAACGATGGTCCCTGCGCCTTGGTTTACTCATCTGCAAAGTCGGGTGGCAGGACCCACCTCCTCATGGGATTCCATGAGAATTAAATGAGTTAAGTGTGTGTGAAGCGCTTAACACGGGGCCTGCGCGTGATCAGGGCTCACTTAGTCTTGGGTGACGTCATCATCGTTATCAGATGCTGGGGAGAGTGAGAGGAGAGGAGGAAAAGGCAGCTGTGCCGGGTCCCGAGGCTCTGCAGGAAGGGCATCCAACAGATGCTCCCCGCCCCCCACCCATGCCCATAGACTCAAGGGAACAGAAACCCTGACCCCTCCAGGGGCCTTGGACCCAGGGAGTGGTCCTTGAAGGGAGGGACCTGGCACGCTGCCAAAATCTAACCTCCTCTCCCTTCCCCCCTTCCCACCCTGCCCCATCCAGTGGCGATGGATGATGAGGATGGGAGATGCTTACTAGACGTGATTTGGTGAGTAGCGGACTCCCTCCTATCCTCCTTGCCCTCCCCTCCCCTGCCCACCTCTCGCCGCCTCAGTGCCTCTTCCCTTCTCTCTTTCAGTGACCCTCAGGCCCTCAATGACTTCTTGCATGGATCCGAGAAGGTGAGTGCAGGGCAGGGAGGCATTCCCGGGGTAGGGGGCTGTGGAACTGGGGGTTGCCATGTTCCTCTGATTCAGTAGACATCTGCTCCCTGCCTTCTGTGAGGCAGGCGCTGCGTTTATGGTCAGAGAGCAAAAGAAATGGCAGATCCCTGTCCTCATGCCATATACATTTCCTTGGTCAACAAAGTAACCAGTAACCAATAAAGGTGACAGTGGAAAGCACCATGCAGAGTAGGATTAGAAATAATAGTGCCACGTGCACAACACAAGAGGTTTAAAAGAAAATGAATGGCAGGTGGGGGCAGGGGCTTCTTTAGCTAATGTGGTCAAGTAGAGTCCCTTTAAGGAGGTGACATTGAAAGTGCGCCTGAAGGGTCAGAGGGAGGTGCCCACGGTGCTTCAGGCAGGGAAAGAGCAGGTACAAAAGTGGGAAAGTTTGGCATGTTCAAGGAACAGAAGGAAGGCTGGTGGGGCCGGACCAAAGGAGAAACTAGTAGGAGGTAAGACTGGAGTGGACAAAAGTCACCAGGTCATGCAGGCCTGGAAGACCTGGACCGAGGAGCTTAGATTTTATTCTGAACGTGACAGGCAGCTCTGATGGGTTATTAAGCAGGAGAATGCCATATTTGATTTGCAACCTAGAGAGTGGAACAGAGTGTGAAAGAGTGGAAGTCTGTTGAGCCACGAGGAGTTGTATCAGTCATCTAGGTCTGCATAACAAATTATCCCAACACTTAGTGACTTAAAACATTTGTTAGAGCTCTTACGGTTTGTGAGGGTCAGGAATTAGGGAGTGGCTTAGCTTGGTGGTCTGGCTCAGGGTCTCTCCTGGGGTTGCAGTCAGATGTCGGCTGGAGCTGCTGTCACCAGAGGGCTTGTCTGAGCTGGAAGACAAGCTTCCATGACTCATTCCCATGGCTGTTGGCTGGAGGCCTCAGCTCCTCACCACGAGGGCATCCCCTTAGGACTGCTTGAGTGTCCTCACAACCCGGCAACTGGTTCCCCCACAGCGAGTGACTCAAGGGAGAGAGCCAGGCGGAAGCTCACTGCCTTTTATCACCTGGTCTCCAAAGTCACACACTGTCACTTCCGTCAGATTGTATTCACTAGAAGCGAGTCACGAAGCTAACCCACACTTTTAGGGAGAGTAAAGGAGCGTCACTTCTTGAAACAAGAAGTACTGATTTGTGGAGCAGAGGCAAGTGCCATGGGATGATGGTGACCTGGGCAATGAATGGCGTGACAGTGGAGGAGGGGCCAGACGCTGGCTTTGTTTTGGGGTCTTTCTGGGAGGCAGAGTCGAGTAGACTTGCTGGTGGACTAGATGTTAAGAAAGAGAGTGTCTAGAATGCCTCCTGGATTTTGGCCAGAGCAACTAAGTGGGTTGTCGTACTGATCTCTGTGATGGGAGTTTGGGTTGGAATCCAGAAATCTATGGGGGGCTGTTGGATATAACAGCCTGGGGTTCTGGAGAGACATCAGCTGGAGAAATTGGGGGGGCCACCCACCTTGACCATGACACTCACTGGGGCTTGTGTGGATGCAGGCCCTGTCCGAGGTGCTGAAGGTGCTCTTTCAGAGACATGTACAGCTCGGCAGGTTAGGTGCCCGGCCAGTGGGCATGCCAGATACTTGGAGTGACTTAGTGAGAAGGGACAGACGACTGTTGGGAGGAGGTGGAGGTGACATAACATGACAGGCACTGAAGGATGTGTTACCAAAGAGATGAAGGGCAAAAGACAGAGACATAGCCTGGGCAGAGGCATGGAGGCAGGATTCTCAAGTTCAAGGCAGGCATGATGTCAGAGGAATTTTGGAAGCCAGGCTAATAGACTCAGTGTTGGGGACATCTTGCCTCCCACCTCGTCTTTGTCTTTTTGTCCCATGTAACCCTAAATTGGTTTTTGTTCTAAAGCATAGACTGGCTTACTGCCCAGCTGACCTTTGACCTTGGGTGGGGGTGGGTCTTGTTGCAGCTCGACAGTGATGACCTCCTGGATAACCCCGGGGAGGCCCAAAGTGCCTTCTATGAAGGTCCTGGGGTAAGTGGCCCCGGGACTTGGGGACGCAGCAGGCTCCTTCCCAGTCATCGCCCAAGTTGCCCGCAATGGCAGCCCGTGGGAGGGAGGCCCCGAAGGCAAGAGGGAAGGGCTTATGCTTACCCTGGAGGCACTTTGTGGGGAGGAGGGCAGGGGGCAGTCACTGAGAGCACCGTCGGTAGAGGTGGGACTGTGGCTGCTAGACCACTCTAGCTGTGCCCACAGGGCACTCGGAGAAGGAGGGGAGGGTCCTGGACCCTGGCCTTGGGGCCTTAGGGTTCAGCTGGTGCAGAGTAGTTCTGGGAGTTGAGGTAGATACTAGCTCTGAGGTTCACAGGGGAACACTTCTCTGGGGAGCAGGGGATGTGGAGGCCTGGGGGCCTGTTCCTGCTCAGTCACGTGGGGGGTTGTGACCCGGGGAAAGGGGATCAGCTGATGCAGTCCTCAGTCTACATCCGGAAAATGAAGGTGGGGTGATAAGCAAAGCTCAGAGTGGGGACTGCAGTGGATATTTATTGAGCACCTACTGTATGCCTGACTGTGCCGAACCCATTAGTAAATGCCAATTGTCCTTCCCTCTTCTTTCTCTCCTGCTGCTTCTGCCTCCTTCCTTCTCTCTCCTCCTTCCTCCTTTTTCCTCCTTCCCCTCTTCTCTCTCCCTTCCCCTCCTCCCCCTTCTCTTTTTCCATTCCTCCCTTTTCATCATCATAACTATCATTTACTGAACGCTTACTATCTGCCAGGCCCTTTATAGTAATTTTCATTTAGTTCTCACAATGATGATAATGTATTCTGAATAATTTATCTTTCATAAAATCAATTATTAAATCCAGAACCCAACAAATAAACATCATTTCATGGTATTGCATTTATAGAACGAGTAACGACAATGAGCCTTTATTCTTATTTTGTGATCCTCATTCTCATCACTGCTGTCATTTTTTAACACCCAGAAGGTCCCTGGTTGGGTTCTGAGCACCTCCTGTATGTGATGTCAGTGAATGTCACGACCATCCTAGGAGGCTATCCGGTCAAATATCAGTGGGGATTCCATGCCATAAGCATAATTACTGCTCGTGGAATACTTGCGCAAATATGCATACACATATTTATCCATAATGTGTCTTGCATGGGAAGCATTTTTGAGAAACGTCAAACGCACAGTGCACTTGGCACAAAGTAAGGTTCACAGCAGTAGCGGCTCCAGCTGCTGTTGTGTTTAACAACCAGGAACTTTTGTTGAAATAAAACCTTTGGGGCCAGGCGTGTTTCAGAATCCATGATGTTTCAGATTCTGGAAAGGTGATGCTGAATGTGTGTGCGCTGCATGTAACAACACGCTCATTCACCTTGCCGTGGCCAGACTTAAGAAGGGTCATGTTACGTGGGTAAATTGTGCCTTTGCCCTAGAGCACCACATCGGTTCTGGTCAGGTTTTGCTGCCAAACAGTTATAAAAACATTCGTGGTTTTCAGAGCCTTTGGGGTTTGGGAATTGCAGATAAGAATTAAGGGGCTGTATGACTAGTCAAGTGGTTTTATTACATTCTACTGATGTGTACAGATGGGGAAAGAGGCCAGATTCCACAAGCCCCAGGTTGCACAGTTAAGCCCTGGTGGAGCTGGCTTTGAACCCAGATCCAGCCACTTTCAGATGGAATGTTCTTTCTGACTGTGCCACCCTGACCCCGAGTGTCCTCTGCTTCAGCCGTGCCCTGAGCCTGGCCCTTTGCTAATCTCAGATCTTTCCTTCCCACCTTGTTTGGCCTCCAGCTCCACGTTCAAGAAGCTTCTGGTAACCACTTGAACCCAGAGCCCAGCCAGCCAGCCCCCAGTGTGGACCTAGACTTCCTGGAAGATGACATCCTGGGCTCGCCCGCAGCAGGGGGCGGCAGCGGGGGCAGTGGGGGCACAGACCAGCCCTGTGACATCCTCCAGCAGAGCCTCCAAGAGGCCAACATCACCGAGCAGACGCTCGAAGCTGAGGCTGAGCTGGACCTGGGCCCCTTCCAGCTGCCTACCCTGCAGCCTGCGGAAGGTGGGGCCGTCCCGGCAGGTGCTGGAGGGGCTGCCGCTGTGGCCGCGGGGCCCCAGGCCCTCTTCCCAGGTGGCACAGATCTGCTGGGACTACAGGCCCCTCCCACCGTGCTGACCCACCAGGCCCTGGTGCCACCCCAGGATGTGGTGAACAAAGCCCTGAGTGTCCAGCCCTTCCTGCAGCCTGTGGGCCTAGGCAATGTGACCCTGCAGCCCATCCCGGGCCTCCAGGGACTGCCCAACGGCAGCCCTGGAGGTGCCACAGCGGCCACACTTGGCCTGGCACCCATCCAGGTGGTGGGCCAGCCTGTCATGGCACTTAACCCCCCCACCTCGCAGCTCCTGGCCAAGCAGGTGCCTGTCAGCGGCTATTTGGCCTCAGCGGCCGGCCCCTCAGAGCCAGTGACCTTGGCGTCAGCGGGTGTCTCGCCCCAGGGGGCTGGCCTTGTCATCCAGAAGAACCTCCCAGCCGCCGTGGCCACCACGCTCAATGGGAACTCAGTATTTGGAGGAGCAGGAGCTGCCACAGCAGCGGCCACCGGGGCACCCTCAGGGCAGCCACTGGCAGTGGCCCCGGGCCTCGGCACGTCACCGCTGGTTCCGGCACCCAACGTGATCCTGCACCGCACACCCACGCCCATCCAGCCCAAGCCTGCTGGCGTGCTGCCTCCCAAGCTCTACCAGCTGACACCCAAGCCATTCGCCCCCACAGGCACCACGCTTACCATCCAGGGCGAGGCAGGGGGCCTCCCGCAGCAGCCCAAGGCCCCCCAGAACCTGACTTTCATGGCAGCGGGCAAAGCCGGCCAGAACGTGGTGCTGTCAGGCTTCCCGGCGCCTGCCCTGCAGGCGAATGTCTTCAAGCAGCCTCCGGCCACCACCACGGGGGCAGCCCCGCCTCAGCCCCCCGGGGCTCTGAGCAAGCCCATGAGTGTTCACCTCCTGAATCAAGGCAGCAGCATTGTCATCCCTGCTCAGCACATGTTGCCAGGCCAGAACCAGTTCCTGCTGCCTGGCACATCCGCGGTCCAGCTCCCCCAGTCGCTCTCGGCCCTACCAGCCAACGTGGGTGGGCAGATCCTGGCAGCCGCAGCTCCTCATGCTGGTGGACAGCTCATCGCAAACCCCATTCTCACCAACCAGAACCTGGCAGGCCCACTGAGCCTGGGGCCCGTGCTGGCCCCCCACTCTGGGGCCCACAGTGCCGCCCACATCCTCTCGGCCGCCCCCATCCAGGTGGGCCAGCCTGCCCTCTTCCAGATGCCAGTGTCCCTGGCTGCGGGCAGCTTGCCCACGCAGAGCCAGCCAGCACCCACTGGCCCTGCTGCCACCACCGTCCTCCAGGGGGTCACTCTGCCCCCCAGTGCCGTGGCCATGCTGAACACCCCCGATGGTCTGGTGCAGCCGGCCACCCCTGCTGCCGCTGGTGAGGCTGCACCTGTCCTCGCGGTGCAGACAGCCCCCCAGGCACCCCCCACAGTCAGCACCCCGCTGCCTTTGGGCCTCCAGCAGCCTCAGGCGCAGCAGCCCCCCACACAGGCCCCCACCCCTCAGGCTGCTGCCCCACCTCAGGCCACCACCCCTCAACCCAGCCCGGGCCTGGCATCCAGCCCAGAAAAGATCGTGCTGCCGCCCTCTGCCACCACCACGGCCATCCTCACTCAGGACTCCCTGCAGATGTTCCTGCCCCAGGTAACCGGGGCTGTGCTGGGCTGGCGAGGAGGAATAGGGTTGGGGGTAGGGGGCAGGGGGTCTGCTGTGGAGAGGGGCAGAGAGCAGCAAGGCAGCGACTGGGGAGGTCTTCTGGGCTAAAGAGAACATCTCAGATGGCACCCTGCTCTGGGTACCAGTGTCCCCTAGGGGGAGGCCCAAGAGTGACAGGGAATGACTGGGTGACAGGAAACAGAAGACAAGGAAAGGGATCAACAGACAGACAAGGAGAGAAGTTGACACAGCAGAGGGATAGACAGATAAGGAGAGGGACTTGGCTGGCTGACAGATTGAAAGACAGACACGGAGAGTGAATGGCTGGCTGACTGACAGAAAGACTGACAAGGAGGGAGCCTGACTGGCTGACTGAGAGACAGACAGACTGCCCTCCTGCTGGAGGGCTGGAGAGGGATCACAAAGAGATTGGGCAAGGCATGGACAGACAGACAGGGCAGGAGAGATGGAAGGTGCGGTAGAGCTGGAAGGTGGCTGACCTCCAGGGACTTGAGTGGAAGGTACTACCCAGGCTTCAGCCTCCCTGGCACCTGGACCTCAGGGCTGCCAACCCCCTGGCTTCTGTGCCCAGCCTCTTGGTGCCCCTCCC